AGCAGGAACAATTTTGTAGGTAGAAGCAGCAAAATGGGCAGGAGAGAGAAGCAGACATCATGGGAGTTTTCTCCTGCAGGGTCAGAAAGAGAAGAGCACCAATGCTCCTATGAAGGAAAAAAAGATCTCTCTGAAATATGGATTGAATTTTCAGTAGAGGTTTTTATTATAAGCCATGGTTACCCTTTTGAACTGCATCCAGAACTGATGTAACTGCAAGAAGCACAAAAGCTAAGTGAAATACAAAACAGGTCACTGTAGTCAGGACCTCCAATAGCTTTTAGGTGCTTTTTGGAATGTAACTCCAAGCACTATGATAAATCCATTGGTGTGATGATCTAATCTTACAGCTGCAGAAGTAACACTAATTACAGTGAAGTCTCTACTTAAAGGGAGCCATCACCAGCTAGTGAACAGCAGTAGTGGAAGATCTCAAGCACTTTATCCTAAAAGAAATAGCTGCATATTCCTTCTGTTCGTGGAACTACCAGCTTCACCATCACCTTTTAGATGGAAATAGTCTCCATTGAATAACAATGCCATGAACTGCTTCTTTCTTGATGGTGGGAAGGATCCTGTCACGCAAATACGGGAAATGTTAATTTTGGTACACTAGTAGAAAGTCAGACAGAGAAGGTAATAGGTTGTTGTTTTCTTTTAGTAAACATTCAGAAAAGTGCTGTGTTAGCCCAAAGAGGAAACTTGGCTATGTCAGACTGCGTCCTTTTGTAGGTCTGCTGTGATCAGTAAGCAAAACAAAATCACACCGGCAGAGATGTCATTCCCACCCACAGTAGTGACTGGAAAGAAGCTGCTATTGAGAATAGTGCTCTTTTGCTCTTATTTTCCAGGGAAGTGGCATAAATGGATTATTTTTTATTAATATATAGACATTATATTAAAGTACTTACGGACATCAAATTGATAATAAACATTGCTACACTAAAATTTAGCAAAGTAAAATTAGTCTTTTACATACTCCTTTTAAAAAAGTCATATTGACCAAGTTGGAAAGGGGACTGTATTAATAGAATTTTCACAAAATACTACTTCGGTGGTGTAGACTCAATATGAAATCTGAGCCCAGTGAAATCAGTGGCAAATATCCTACATATTATGTACAGCCAAGATTTTTTCCTAATTACACAGAGTTAGTCAGTATTAGGTTGGCAAGCATGTCCCAATAGATTAGAGATATTTCAAATTAAGTAGAGTTTCAAGATGAGAAGGCACCACTAATGATATATATGTTTGTCAGCATGGAGAATTAAATTTTTTTTGCAACCTCACAACCAATATTTTGTAATTAAAAAAAAATTTTAGAAGTAGTGTTCTGGGAAAAATACATTCTGTTAACATATTTACTGAGAAAACATTCCAGTTACTGCATTAGTAAGAGTTAACATAATGATAGTTTATTTTTGTAAATACAATATACAGCATCATAGGACTGTGGAGACATGTCTGTCAAATCTGAGAAGTAAATGTCACAGCCACACCAAACAAAAATTATAAAACACAAATATACTGAAAACAACAAAATGTTGTAAAGCTTATAGTCATCAATGATCATTTAAATTATTATCAATACCTGAAATTTCACAAAATCATAGGAACACATTGATACTAGTGTTAACTTGCAATAAATATATTGTAGATTTGAATTCTTGTCTATCATTTGTCACAGGTCATAACATAATTACACGTGGAACTTGTCTATGAAATAAGTAACAGCTCAATATGTTTACTATTCAGTAACTACAATCACTAACATCAGGAGTAACTACTTCCTGAAATTATTTTTATCCCCTTCTGTGTGTGTTAGCACATATAAGTACACTTCTCTATTTGACTTAAATTATCTAGCAGAATTAGTGGTAATATTTACTTTTTAATTATCTGTCTCATCTTTGAAATCCTTATGCAAAATCCTTTGAAACAGCTTCTATAAAATTTGGAGCAGACATGAGTATTGTAAATGTGCAAATGATGGCAAAAAGGGTAAATGCAACCAGGCATAATCTGTCTATGACAGCAGCTGCAAACTTCCACTCACTGCAGATCTCTTCACCCTCATCTTGTTTCCTGAAGCGCATTGCTATGAACTGAACTTCCTCCAGGATCTTCACAATCACCGGAATGGTATCCATTAAACCTTTCTTTTGAACAAGCTCAGTATCTTCTGGTAAGGAGCAAGTAATCTTTCCGCTCTTGCTACCTGGATCATTCTTCTGGGGGCAGCACCGACCTTCCATCGCGATGTAGTTATAGATCATGTTGCCATTGCTGGACTGGTGCCCAGGAAGGACATTCATCTCCATGCGGTTTACACTCACATGGTGCTTGGGATAGCTATATTTGCAAGAGAGAGGCTTTATATTTTCCCCGGGCTTTTTCATTC